CATCCTGCTATGCTTGAGGAAAACACACCAGACATATCCATTTTGATCTTTGCCTTGTTTTCTTTTTATTGAAGAAAACTTTCCAGTTCATGTCTTCGACTGATTTAACATAGAAAATGCAAAGCCAGTACATAATTAACGGAGCCTCTCTACTTGTCTGCAAAACATGCATTTGGACACTAAATATGACTGTAAGAAATGTGAACCTTCCAAAAAGGGCAGTGGAGCCATCTCTGAGGGAAATAAGAAATTAACATTGTTGTTGTTTTATTTGTTTGCTTTTAAAGAATCTATACAGAACATTAAATGGACTAGAGAAAATGTTAGGATATGTATTGAACACTTCAATCCTTTTAAAAAACCTATTATTTTGCTTACATATTTTCTTTTTTTCCTGCCAGTTCTCTTTTCTTGTTCTTTTTTAAGTTGAAGTATAGCTAATTTACAATATGATGTTAGTTTCAGGTGTACAGCATAGTGTTTCAGTATTTTTACAGATTATAGTTAATTGAAAGTTGTTACAAGATAATGACTATGATTCCCTGTGCTGTACAATAATATATCCTTGTTGCATGTCTATTTTATACATAGTAGTTTGTATCTCTTAATCCCATATGTCTATCTTGCCCCATTTCCCTCTCCACTCTGGTAACCACTAGTTTGCTTTCTATATCTGTGAGTCTGTTTCTGTTTTGCTACATACATTCCTTTGTTTTATTTTTTAGATTCCACATATAAGTGATATCATACAGTATTTGTCTTTCTCTGTCTGACTTATTTCACTAAGCGTAATATTTCCTAGGTCCATTCACATTGTTGCAAATGGCAGAATTTCATTATTTTTTATGGCTGAGTAATATCCCACATCTTCTTTGTCCAATCGTCCATTGATGGACACTTAAGTTGTTCCATAATGCTTTGGCAATGGTAAGTAATGCTGCTATGAACCTTGGGGTGCATGTATCTTTTCGAATTAGTGTTTTTGGTGTTTTGGGATATATACCCAGTAGTGGAATTGCTTGGTCATATGGCAGTCCTAGTTTTAGTTTTTTGAGAAACCTCCATACTGTTTTCCACAGTGGCTGCACCAGTTTACATTCCCACCAACAGTATACAGATGGCCAACAGGCACATGAAAATACGCTCAGCATCGCCAGAGTGTTTGCCTGGCTCGGTGTGGGGCACACGCGGAGGTGGTCATGGGAAACCCAGCAGCTCCAGAGCAGTCCTCTCTCTGCCCTCTCAGTCCTGCCTCGAGAGCGAGCCAGTGAGCACACTCCTCACCATCAGAGTCCATCCTTCCCACAGCCCTCCTGCCTGTCCCAGAGGTCCTCCAACCAGCCAAGGCAGCTGGTCTTCCCCACATAGGACCCCAGGACCCAGGCACCCAGTCTGTGGCTCTCACCTCTCACTCCCCAGTGTGCTCACCTTTGTATTCTCCCTTTCCTCTGAGTCTCCTCCCCGGGAGCACAGGTCCCAAACTGATCGCTTTTCTTCCCTTCCTGCGCAATTATGTGTGGACCTTTCTCACAGCCTTGGTTGTAAAGGAGTCCTTCTGCCAGTTTCCAGTTAGTTTTCAGTGAGAAATTTTCCACATGTAGATGTATTTTTGATATGTTAGTGGGGGGAGGTGAACTCCACATCCTCTTACTCTGCCGTCTGGATCCATCTCCCTCTTTTCTTGCTCTATACCTAATCGTTCTTTGATTTTTGAAGTTGCTGACATGAACTTCTCAGAGATATTCTGAAAGAAGCACTTAGTCTTGATACTTTAGTTAGCAATTTGGTGTTTAAGATGACTAATAAAATACAGAGCTTCCAGGATAACTTGTCTCCCATGATCTATTTGCTAAGGAATCAGAGCTCTTTATCCAGAGACATTCAGACATATTGCTTTCCTGCAACTCTGGAGGCATCTTTGATTGAGATAAGGTTAAACTGGACATCACTGCCCCACTGAACAACTGGCTTCTAAGGTGATCTAGCCTAGAGAATATGAGATGCTAACTTGAAACCTGAAACACAGCATAAGACAACACAAAGCACGTTAGGATATAATAAATTCAGTTCCATATATATAGCCTAATATATTTATTTTAAACATAAATATTCACAACAATGCAATATATGTCCAATTACATATATTAAGTGCTTTCCATTTGCAGAAAGGTAATATACAGAAGCACAATACATTCAAAATTATTTTCTGACTTAAAATATTTACTTATTATCAATGCACTGCTAATTGCTTGCAATTTTGCCTTCTGTACTTATACTAATACGTTGAATAGAGTGTAGTCTGCTGTGTTAATTTATATATCTATTTTTCAATTGGATGAGTCTTTATCCATTTATTTATGGCCTAGATGCATCTCTTCTATTCCAGGTGCATAAATGTTTTCTAATCTGCTTATTTTCTTTTGCTTATTTAAATGCAATGAATTAAGATTTCAGCTTACTTTGCCACATCCAGACACTTAACTTATATTTCTAATAGTTTCTGTGACTTATAATATAGCATTTTTATGTTAATAAATTGTCTCCCATATAACAATACTAAGTATTATGCCAAGAAAAGTCTTGCTGCTGTGTGTGTGTATGTAGTGTGTATGTATGTATGTATCTGTAAGCACAGAGATCTGTATACTTCAATGCCATTAAAGTCAGAGCTATATTTTGTGGATCAATTCACCCAATAATTAAATATATTTGAAGGAAGCAAGGTAGTGTACATGTTAAGTTTTACATGTATAGTATCTGTAATATCTTTTTGGCAGTTCATATTTAAGGTATGCCTCAGTTCCCTGAAGATAGATTGAAACACAGAAGCCTCAAAACTCAGAAATCACTTTTATCAACACATGTGGCCTCAAACATGGCTTTTTGAACATCATCTATTTGAGTTATTATGGTTCAAAGATTAAAAGCTCAATACAGGAAAGTTAGGCCATGATGAGAAGGAAACAAAATCAACTGAACACAGGCTGCTGAAATAATGTTTGCAAGATCAAATGCAATGACTGTGACCAGGAATGATAGGTCTTCCATGGTTTCTCCAATATTACCATTAAATCCCAGAAGGAAAGTTATTTGCTTAAAACAACAGACTTTAAAATACAATTTATGCTGTTTTGAACTTGATAGCTTGCATGGTTAACACCAGTTTTTAAGTATTTAGCATTGTTCTTATTGGAGGTTTTCACATTTTCTTTGTGGACCTGAAAACATATATGTAGTTTCAGAATATAAGAAAAATTTCTTGTTTTCAGAGAAATTATCCCACATATTACCAGTTTGGAATAATGTCTTCCTCTTATTAAGTACTCCTCAGGAGCTATGATGATGGGGAGGTGTAAGTTACTGAAGTGTAAGTACTAAAACCCATGGACTAGGGTTGAGAGTAGGGCTGAGGTGGGGTTGAGGACTAAGGAAATGGGAAGAAAGTTAAGTCTTGCACTCATTCACCTCTACAACATTCTCCTACTAAAAGCCTACTAGAAACTAGACACAGTTTTAAATTTAGAGGGCGTTTTGGAATACAAATATAATCTCCTGTTTTGAATTCCTGGGGGTCATATAGCTAACAAAAAATGGTAGTACATTGTCTTACTCCATTTGGATTGCTATAACAAAATACCATAGACTGGGTGGCTGAAAAACAGATTTTTATTTCTCACAGTTGTGGAGGCTGGAAGTCCAAGATCAAGGTGTCAGCAAATCCAGTGTCTGGTGAGAGGCTGCTTCCTGGCTTACAGACAGCCAGCTTCTCCCTGTGTCCTCACTCCATAGACTGCATAGAGAGAGAAAGCAAACTTATTTGTGTCTTTTTATAAGGGCACCAATCCCATTCAGGAGGGCTCCATTCTCATGACCTAATCACCTTCCAAAGACCCCATATCCTAACACCATCACATTATGAATTAGGATTTCAACATATGAATTTAGGGCATACACAAATATTCAGTCCATAGCATATGTAGAGAGAAATGAAAAGAAATATGCACAAAGGGTGCTATGCCCAGGTCCCTGAGTGGACCACATTGTACTTGCCAGGAGTTTCTGATGTAGATAGCAGCAGAGGGATGTTCCAGATCTCAACAGGAGGGGCAGACACAGATCCATATGCCAAATGCATTACGCCAAAAGAAAGAAATCACTGTTATGGAAATAGCAGTTCCTCAGCCCCTGACCCGTTTGATCATCTTGCTGAAGCCCTGCTCACTCTCAAATTAATTATGTTTTCCACATATGGGAGCTGGCTTTGTGGATTGTGGATGAATCAATGTGCAAAATTGTCCAATAAATTGAAAATAGATTTCAATTGCATGATGTAATTGTAGTTCTTTAAAGTATTTTAATAAAGAAAATTATTGATTAGAAGATACATTGGAGAACACTAAATATATATGTTATGTATGTATATATAGATATACATTTGCGATATTGAATCTAAAATGGATTCACATTCAGTAGTAATAAAGAGTGAACAAATTGCAGTATTAAATCTATGAAGTGTAGAGTAACTAAAGGTTCACAACTGAATAATGCTTTATAAGTACCTTGTGATGTAGCAAGTGTGGGCACTATTGTCTACTTGCAGGGAGAAAACACGAGAATCCTTCAGTCCACAAGTCCTTATGAAGCATCCAGCACATGCCAGGTAAAATGCCAAGTCTTCAGGCTGCCACCAAGAACAAAGCAGACATCGTCTCCCTTGTGTATATGCAGAGATTTTCTAACTGGCTAAACCCACACAGACCTTGTCAGGACTATGTCAGGATTTAGAGGTCAGATGTGTACCCAACCCACCTAGCCCAGCAATACCTTACCAAATTAGATAGCCTCCTGAAAAGGATGGTAATTTTAAAATATTAATTTAGGTATAAAACATACTGTAGAGATTAAATAATATATATATTTCTCTTCTTTTTTAAAAAAAAATACATGTTAATGGTTTCCTGGATACCAGATTCATTTTTAAACCTTTCCTCTGACCATAGGAGCTGATGCTGTGGAAGCTCAGTGTAAAAGATTTGAAGTGAGAGCAAGTGAAGATGGCAGGGTGCTGTTTTCTGCAGATGAAGATGGGATTACCATTGGGGCTGAAAAGCTGAAAGTTACAGGTACTGTAGATGGAGGTCTTGGAACATTGTTTACTTCTTGAAAGAATACGCAACTGAACAAGAAACTACTTTTTTATATCTATGGTCCCCACGCCTGAAATTGAGTCTTGCATAATATCGTGATATCACATCATTTGATTTTCCAGTAGTCATAAACAGAAAGCTCTGGTCGTGGTTGCAGAAGACACTATAAATATTAGCCTTAACGATATAAAAGCAAAGCTGCATGTCTCAGGCAGGGTTAGGTGGAGGAAACTGAGTGTGGATCGTGGAAGAAAAGGTGGGGTGCAAACAATGATTGAAGATTACTCAAGGTAATAGATAAATACAAGTTAGAGGTGTTACTCAACAGTAAGAGATATGCAAAAGAGGAACTAAAACATCAACTTCAGAATGAAGTAAGGGGAAGGTTATAAGTAAATTAAACTCCTGTTCTTTAGGGCTCATAATTATCTTCAAAAGTATATCAATCAAGAAATAGCGCTAATCACCTATTACTGAGACATTATTAAAGTCATTATTCTAATATTAGGGCCCTTAGTGTCAACCACCAACTGAAATGAAAAAGCAACAACAAGAGCAAAATAACAGAAAGTGAAAAGCACGATTGGGAATGGGGAAGGATTTTATTAATACTATTTTAAGCATTTTGAGTACAATCGCTTTTGAATAATTTGATTTACAAAGAGGCCTATATTAAGAAATTAAATATGTTTGGCTTAGCATTTCCCAAATTTGAGTTTGGGGACAGTTCATGGGATATCTATCATATCTGGGTAGAACAGCGCCTGTGGGCCGTGTGAGAGCAGTCTGCATGGTAAATGACCTCAGCTCTTGGGCTGTTTGGGTTAAATTCTGCCTCCACCATTCAATAATTTGAGTAAATCTATGCCGTCTATTTTCCTTCATCTAAATGATTGAAATGATAGTGCGCACATGCCTGTGTGTGCATGTGTGTTTTTAGAATGTTTTGGGCACATAATGAAGACATTGTAAAGGTTAGCTTTTTGTTTTTATTAATAAAGATAATATTGATATTGCCAATATCCCAGACACCAGGGTCTGCGTGGATTTCAAGAAAGATACACTATTAAATAGCAATGAAATTCAACAAAGATTGTAGAATGGGGATCTTCACCGGGCATCTCTGGTCTGGCTCACAATCTACCACCACCATCCTTATTGTCCCCGAGGGCCTCCTTTCTTTCTTTCGTGAGTTTTCTGATGAGTAGCTGGAGCCTGCACCATTGGGTTAGTGCTTGGGCTGGTTCCCAGGACTGCCCATCAGCCTCATTTCTCTTTCTTTCTTAAGACTCCTTAAAAAGGTCAGGAGTAAACATGTACATGGGATAAACATTGGCCTTCCTAAGTCTTGAGTTGGCAGTCAGGGAGCCAAAAAAATTTTTTTAATTAAAAAATCATGAGGAGAGCTTCCCTGGTCGTGCAGTGGTTAAGAATCCACCTGCCAGTGCAGGGGACACAGGAAGGGGTCTAGGGGTCTGGGAAGATCCCACATGCCGCGGAGCAACTAAGCCCGTGCACCACAACTACTGAGCCTGCACCCTAGAGCCCCTGAGCCACAACTACTGAGCCCGCGTGCCACAACTATGGAAGCCCATGCACACAGAGCCCATGCTCCGCAGCAAGAGAAGCCACCACAATGAGAAGCCCACACACCACAACAAAAAGTAGCCCCTGCTCGCTGCAACTAGAGAAAGCCTGCGTGCAGCAACAAAGACGCAACACAGCCAAAAATAAATAAATAGATAAAATAAATTTATTTTAAAAAAATCATGAGGATTTTCCTTGGCAAAGAGCACAAACAAATCAGAAAGGACATTGACTTTAGGGCCCTTGATGCTAATGTCTGAGTTGCTAGTTGGTGAGAAAATCAGGAACCAGAGTAAAAACACACTCAGAGGGATTGGGCAGATGTGATTTTAATATTTAACAATCTTTAAACCTTGGTAGTGTCTGAAGTTATCAGCTTTGATACCAAAATAATCCTCATAGCTTTTAGGATATTATACACGTAACCAAAAATTATTTCATCCATTTCAGATATTTGCATTGGGTACTTTGTATTCATAAGTGAAGGGTAGTTCTGGAGCTCTTGATGGCTTTTATGATCTCATGGAATTCTAACTTTCTCTGATCTTTATATTACCTTGATTTTTCTCATAACTATTGCAGTGAAGTACTGTCTTCACAAAATTAGACCCAATAACTAGTTTTTGTAATTTTTCTTGGAGGTAGATGGATACTCACATGTATTTCCTCTTTTTCTTGGTAGCCTGGTTGCCTTTGAATTGTTAATTGGGCTATTAAGTCAGAGGAAAAAGTGTTCCCTAAAAAATCTAAGGATTTTCTGCTTTTCAGTTAACTGTCTTAGGGCAGTCATCTCTGCTGACCTATTATTCATTCTTTCTCTCTTTCTCCCCTTTGTATGTGTGTGATGTATGCATGGTATATTGTATGATGTATAGATGGATAAATACATATATCTCACTCTAGCTCTGTTTTTCCATTTCTTTCTCTGTCTCAAACATATACACACAGCTTTGAGTTTATTTTTCATAATACTCTTGTTTAATCTATACTTTCCAATTATCTCAAAAAATTAATCAGTTTTACAATATGTTTATGTATCATATGACTCCAGAAGGTCCTAAATAATAAACTAATACAACTTTGAGTTCATAATTACAGAATCCAGGCAGATTTTTGTAAAGGATGGAAGTGTCACACAGGAGGGAATGATGAGAGTGTCTATAACAAGTAACCCTGGCTTTTAACCTGATGCGGGTATGCAAGGGCCACATCTTTCATAAATAATGCTAAGTTAGGAAATACTTTATTTTATTTTTATTTTTTAAATAAATTTATTTATCTATTTATTTCTTTATTTTTGGCTGCCTTGGGTCTTTGTTGCTGAGCATGGGCTTTCTCTAGTTGTGGTGAGCGGGGGCTACTCTTCATTGTGGCACACAGGCCTCTCATTGCGGTGACTTCTCTTGCTGTGGAGCACGGGCTCTAGGCACGCAGGCTTCAGTAGCTGTGGCACGCAGGCTCAGTAGTTGTGGCTTGCAGGCTCAGTAGTTATGGCATACGGGCTTAATTGCTCAGCGGCATGTGGGATCTTCCCGGACCAGGGCTCAAACCCGTGTCCCCTGCATTGGCAGGTGGATTCTCAACCACAGCACCACCAGGGAAGTCCTAGGGGAGTACTTTAATGTGATTAAAATCCCCCTCAGTATCCAGTCACACTTCTGTTTCTCACAGAAGAACCCAGATAGACCCACAGACAAAGACACAAACATACACACATACACACTCATTCTCAAATTCCTGTGAGGTCCTTACTCCATTACCAGAATACGGCATAGGAACTTTATAGTAGCTTTATTCTTTCCTGCAATACTTCTAAAATAAAGGAAAATAAAGTTATCAATGGCAAATATAATTTAGAATTTCACATGCTTAGAGGAGGAAATTGTGCATAATGTAGCATGCAATTTAAGGGCACTGGGATTGATTAGTAACCTCATATGTACTTTAAAGCAGTGCTTAAATATTTAACAAACTATACTACAAAGAAACAGTGACTCCAAGGTATTTCATGTAAATTAAGTAGCAGTGCTGACAAGACTTCAAAGTTGCATGTGACAAGAGATCTGTGTGAGGTTGATTCTAGAATTTTAAATTTGTGACACAGAAATTTTCCATTTAAGCAATATCCATAGGGATTAAAATGGAATCTTTCTAATTTATATTTTAAGAAAAATGGTATTTCGTACATGGACTTCTCTTTCCAGGTGGCAGAAGTAGTTGAATTTATTTAGATAATAAGTGTGTCTATCCAGCTGAGGCAAAATCACTTATGACTAAAATTATTTGTAGATCTAGTGTGGCTCCGGATACTCAAATTTACTCTACTTGGAGCATAGCAGGGATGTACTTGATGCATTTAAATACTTTCAGGGTGCAGGAGGGTGGAAGTAAAGTGGCAGGTAGTTACCTGAATACCACCAGCCCTCATTACCCCATCGGCATGTTCAGCAATCAGTCAGTCACATGCTTTCAATTTTTAACGTTTTTACTCTTGATATTACTTGACTTGCTCTGTAGTACTTTGCTTAAATTTTAATTTGAATATACTTATTTGACCTTAACTTACCCTGTCTATATCATTGAATATATGGGAGTTTTACACTTTAGCTCTCATATGCATACTTGACAACTTTATTTTCCTTTGTATTCCCTAATATTGGTCAGAGATACTACTTAATGCAATTATCTTTTGAGACCAGGTCAATAAATAAAATATATGAACCTTACACGCAGAAGACTCTTAAATTTAGTGCTTTCAGGCAGAATCAATCAACTGCGATTTGTACTTTCACTTTTATTCCAAGTAGTATATTAACTTAGAAAACAAAGTGCAGGTCATTTGACTTTATAAAGTGAAAGACTTTAGTCCTCTAGGATACTTTCATGTTAAATTAAAAGCCATTAGTTGGAGTTAGATCTCTCTGTTTTGCCTTTGAGAGAAAAGTAGAAAATGGCTCAATGTATGAGAAGAAAGGATGTCTCTTTTTTATCAGGCAGTAGAAATTAAAACTGTCAATTTGAAAGAATAGTGAATCCGAATCATGCATCCACCCTGTGCCCTAGTGTTTGCTTGAAAGCCAAGAGTGTCATTCCTTTGTCTCTGTTCTAATTGAATGATTGGAAAGATAGGTTCCAATGCTTATTTGACAACAGAAGAAAGAGTTTTCCAAAGAGCTGCCTTTAAATTAAACACTGTGTTTCTGGGTTGAAATCAGTATTTTCTGGTTTGTCTTTATTAGTTAGTCTTCTACATCCTTCTTCTCGTCTGTTAAATTGGGACATTGTGATGGGGTGAGCTTTGGAATCAACCTTTCTATTACATAGGACTGTTGTTCCTCCAGGCTGTCCAAATGCTAAGAACATGGTAACACTCAACCAACAGGATGGAG